TTTAATATTCAAATCAACTGTTCTTAGCCTGAGGAAATGGTGACACGACAAGTGTATGCTGAAGACACTGTAACCGGAAAATATTTATTTGTATCTGGAGGTTTGTGGAGATTAATTAGCTAATTACAGGTTGGAATTTCTCATGGACTGACATCATTTGGAGGAAAAGTGAAAACCGGGAAGCACTGGACAGTTGTTTCATCCTAGTATGGGACTTCTCAGCGGTGTGCGCCCATGACATCGCCTTCCGAGGATCAAACCAAGGACCTTCAGGCTCCGTGGCCAGTACATTATGACTGAACCACTGGGTAGCAATCCAGTGGTCCATATTTTCTACTTCCGTCAGTTCACGATGCAGCGCGACTTACATCCAATGTAGTCGTTGAGTAACCGTTCGATGTGGTGTGTACGTACTGCTTTGGAGTCCTATACCAGCACAAAACAGATGTCCAGTGCTCCCAGGTTTTTAATGTTCCTCTAACTGATATTAGTTCACGATGAATTCCAACCTAAATCAATATTTTCTTGTATTTTTGACTGAATTCAGCAGAAAAACAAAGGCTAGATAACACTGAAAGCAGTCACAAAAATATTCTCAGCACTAAGACCTATACTTTGAAGCAGTTTGCAGCTTTATATTGAGTTAAATGTTCCGAAATTTTTTAACATTTTCCAGCCAAAATTTCTTACTTCCTGTTCTATAATATTCAATTTATTTTGTATATCATCGACATGAGTATGTCAAGCAGATCGATAAATAATTGATGATTGGATTGGTGATTATGTTGAATAAAAATAGTCAATATCAACTGAAAGTAATAATTTAAAACAATTAACCCCTTTTATAAATTTGGATAATACAGTTAGAAGACGTAGGTTATCTGAAATATGTGATGTATTTGGGCTATGCAGTTCGAACAATCCGACCACAAATTTACTTGTTTAGACAGTACATATGAAAACTGGAAGTGGGGGAAGGACAAATATAACATAAAAGAATTCAATAATAACAAAGATAATGAAAGGAAAAAGATAAGATTTGAAGACAGTCTTGGTCATACGAAAAAATAAGCAATACCAAGGTGCTTGCGCAACACATTTCGAACTGTCTGATCACACACGTACTACTCATAGGTATTTATATGAAAACTCATGAAGATAAGGGGTGAGAAAATAAAAGGAGATCAGGTAGGAAGCCTGAAGTAAGGGCCTCGGAACATATTCCAAAGTGGCTTCAGAAGCAAATTAAATCACCTGAACCCACAAATGTTGGTAGTACAAGTTTAAGTTCTTCGACTGCCGAACATATCGTTGAGATAGGCCACAGGATTGATATGGCTACTACCTTAACACCTATTTACAAAAAAACGTTGGGGAGGGATCATGAAATTTGTTGAAGCCTTAACTATCAGGAAGTTGAAACCACCTTTAGATGTTCATAAACAATTTGTTGTCACATTAAATCTTCCTTGGTAAACTCAACTATTGAATACTACTTCTAAATTAAAAATCCCCATTCATCTCAAAAACATTTTATTGAAAACCAAGTTCGATGTACTATTATTTTTTCGCTCTATTGATTTTCATTGTTATTCGGCCTTTAATTCAGCCTTCCTACCTGACCTCTTATTATTTTCTCACCCCTTATCTTCATGAGTTTTTACATAAATACCTATGACAACTACGTGTGTGATCAGATAGTTCGAAATGTGTTGCGCAAATACATTACACGGTTTAGACAATTTACGTCTTATTGTTTTGTCGAAGTTTATAAAGGGAACTGATTGTTTCAAATTACTAAGGTAGGCTTAGAGTAAGATTAAACCGCTTTTGCACACACAATGGAGGTTACATTTGTATATGGCTAGCACTTCAACAAAAATATACGCTTCGGATAGTTTCTATACAAAATTGTAAAGGCTGTTTTAATATCAATCCTGTGACCCTTATCAAGAATATGTTTTGCGACAGATGATGACGGCTGTCTGCCACCTGCGCTTATCAATGTCTGCGAATCCAGCTGCTTTTGTAACCATTTTGGTACATGTTCCCCTGCCCTCAAATGCATATCATGATTAGTCCTCCCTATGTATGTTTGTCCACACACACATGCAAATTTGTAAGCGCAGTGGGATGTGGCGTAATCCCCCACTTCCAGTTTTCATATATAATGCCTTAAAAAGTAAATGTGTGGTCAGATTGTTCGTAATGTATAACGCAAATACATCGCGTTTTTCAGACAATCTACGTCTTCTAATTACACTATCCAAAGTAATAATTTAGGTTAAAATGAAATCGAAATCCTTAAAATATGCTAAATAAACACATCTAATCCAGATCCTTCCTTTATCGACGGTTTTTTTGACCTGAATCTCGTCGTCGTTGAGCATAACATGGTTGCTATAGATGGCACAACTTTTCTGAAAATGAGCTCCGTCAGTAAATCGCTCATAAAATCGTTGTAAAATTGTTAGGATCTTCTAACTTATTCCAAAGACAAGGGGCTGAGATTCATTCAATGACACAAATATATGAAATTCAATTACTTTTTAATGCACTCAGTACAATTGTACTGTACAATGTACTCAGTAAAATTGAAAGGGAGTAACTTGGAGACAATTAAAATCTTTGTGAAGAGACCCAGTTTCAAGATGTTAGGAAAGTAGCAAGCAATATATGTTTTGCATAGACTAAAGTAAAACATTGGTCAATTGTTTATCAACATATCAATCAGGAATTAAGTCGCGATATAACCACTTTTGTCATACATCAGTCTGTTCAAAGCCCTCGATACTCCTAAATAAATACCATGATCATATCTTTTGGGGAGCTACATTATAGGCGAAATGTTGTTACATATCAAAAGTTCATTCAGTGAAAACTCGTGCTGTAGAACAAATAAAAGTATCTGTGTCAAAACTTAAGGTTACGAATATTTATCATCATATTTATATAAGGTATGTAGATTCACCCTAATTTTCTGTGTTTTGATTAAAAAATTATCTTTCTTTTTGAAGTAATTGACTTAAGACTGCATGTGAATGTTACTTTTATCTGCCACCATATTAACATCAGATTGTAACTTGTTTATTGTCCTTTTTTATTTCGGCAGTAAATATGATTGTACTACTGTGTAAAAATGATGTACATACCTACACAAAGTCATGACATAGGGTTAAATGCCTCTTTCGACATTGCCTACACTAAAGTAAGTAGGAAAAATGAACGGTTCACTTGCTATTTCTCACTAGCGAATTCAAATCCCACAAGAAGAACTATTGAGTATAATGATGCAGATTTGCAACCTGAAACATGTCACATATATGGTTAAAACTGCACATAATTTATCATAGTTTGTACAGCAGTAGAAACAGAAATGAACGTTAACTGATGTGAAATGATCAGGGTTTAAGGAAATATACGAAATTATTTCATTATAATAAAACTTCAGCACGGTGACATAATATTATTCCACTTATTAGACGTATTACACAGCCGCACAGTATTATTTACTGGACTACGTTTTGGACACAGTTCACAATCATATCAAGACTTTGGTATAACTATGGACAGAAAATAGTATCCAAAACGTAATCCAGTAAGTAATACAATTCCCCTGTATGATACACCTAATAAATCAACTTGAATGGGAGAAGATAGAAAGGGCTACTATAGTCGAGCAGCTTGACTGTCTAAAAATGACTGAATTATTGATCAATAAAGTAAAATCCAAGTGGAGAAATGATGTGAATATGGGGATTTTGTAGAAATCTCAGTGGTGTCTCCTGTAATTAAGCAGTCAAAATAAAAAGTAAACCAGTACACTCCATCCAGGAGAGTAATTTTACTGAAAAGAGGTAGATAAGGGTACATTTCAAGATGCATCAAATGCAAAAGCGAAGACTTAATGGTAAAAAAACTTCAAAATGATGTAACTTAATACCATAGTAAGGTTGGAAAGTGAGAGTTATTACCCTTTCAGACACAAAGGTTAAATGTTAACCCTTTTTGTGATTTAATTTGTCTCTGCTAAAGACAAGTATGGGTTTATATGTTTAACATTGTGTAAGGATTTTAGTTTATCTACTTCAAATAAGTATTGAAAGGTTGTGTTAGTCAACATCCAATAGCCTTTGATTGCAATTTCGTTGGAATATTTTCAGTGATATAATCTGAAACCTAAGTTCGTATTCTTTAAGTGTACGTGTTTTAAGCAGGTCAAGTTAACCAATGGACACATTTAGCGTAAGTTTTTGATCGTCTTATTCATTGTTGTAACGTTTAGGTTCATACAATTCTTCGCAAAGCAAATTTTCACACAAAAATCTTGAAGTTACCTCCATTTGTAGAAAAAAAGTTGAATGTCTGATTTTATTGGACATACAACAAGTTTTAGTTGACAAAATATGAGCTTATTACTACTATTTATCAAATGTATGTATGTTCAGATTAAAATCTGTCGTTTATCCTGCAATGACTTTAAAGCAGACTATTAAGGAAGAATGATTCTTCTTCTCACTTATTTGCTCTTTAATGATTACAAACTTTCTTGTCTTTCAAAAAACATTCACATGCAAAGTTATCGAAAACGGTTTCGTTCTAAAGTATACCTAGCAACAATAAAAAGGTTTAACACCGTAGATTATTTTGCTTAAAGTTGGTTAGCATAATAAAATGAAATTAGTTAAGAATGAATTATAGTAGGAGAGTTTACAGATATTTGCAAATACGTCTGAATGAATAACATTTCGTGACGTATTAGTGAATGTAACTGCTTGGTAATGACCACATTCAAATTGATTGACTCCACAGATTATGAATTTCGACTAAAACTTCAGGAAGTTCATCTCTTTACACAGCAATTACGTGCATTGAATAACTACATGGTTTAATTCACCATAAACCTGTAATTGCACTTGACTTATTCATAAGGTTTGCTTGTATGATCGTTTGTAGAACTAGTTTATTACAGGGAGGTAACTTTTCGACTTCATTTTTAGTTTTACCTGAACCAGTGGAGTCTCATTCACGTAAATCAATAAAAAACAAACCGGAAACAAGAAAAGGAAGTAAAATGTTCGGTTATGACAAATCGCAACCAAATTCACCAAAACAAGATGAAGAAAACTTTGAAGTAACCAAATCTCAAACGAATACACAAGAAAGTCAAACGAAATCTCCAATAAACCATAAAAGTGACCAACAGTTTAGTTACAATCTATCACCAAAATTGGGCACGAAGATAAAATTTTCAGATGTACATAAAATATTAATACAACGAGCAAGAAATGAATATCAGCACATCCAGCATCAAAGTAAGAAACATCTGGTTGAACATTATACAAATGAGCAAACGGATCTGATAAACATTTTTGAGGTTTATCTTTTGACTATTTATCACATTTACCGAAGGAATCAAAGGAGATTTATTGATGAGGAAAATCTTAGAGACAATTTCGAAACAATTATATTATCAAACCCAAGTATTTATGGGGATGCATTGTTGTATAAGAATGATAATTATAAGCCAGACAATTTGCTCCCCACTAACAACACAACGAAACCAACCAATAAATACACCAAAATCAAACAACCAGACAACATTGCAGAGATGCTGAACATAAAAATAGGACTGAATGTAAGTTCAGACAATTTATATTCCATTTTATTTACTGCAGAAAACTGCTTTGTTCCAATTAAATTTCCACAGAAATCTTGATAAACGGCATAGTTTGAGCATGAGTTTGTCGAAAAGGTTTTCAATAAAATTGAAAACGGCTGTAAAGTCTAAAGGCTACTTTCATTTCATGTGACGTGTTTCCTTGACCACCTTCCTCACTGAGAACTTCAAAGCATGACCAGAAATTTCAGGACAAATTGCTATCGTAAGACAAACATTCACACATATATCCGTACGTTTTGACTGAGGTCTTTCAGTCATACAAAACATCTTATATATATATATATATATATATATATATATATATATATATATATATATATATAATAGACTAATCTCTCATATCAAATAAATAACTGTAATGGGTACCTCCTTTTCACTAACTTGACAATGCATGTGTCCATGTAAATGCTCCACGAAATGTGTATCTTTTTGTCAAAAATGCTTAAATCCATCAAGGGTTTTTTCCAGTTGAACAAGATAAAGATAAGCCAATGCCTAGTCTGTTATAGTATTTTAGAATAAATAAGTTGACGATGACCTTAGAAATGTTCTATTAATCGGAAACTGAGATTCAATTAGTAATAAGCTATTATGAGGAAGAACTGGTATAAATTTTAAATTTAATGTTTTAGTCCATAGTATGCTGTACAATACAGGGTAGAGAAAACGTACTATCCAATTATGGCTAAAATGTGTATTCATGGATAAATCTTGTAATGTGGTTGAGGCGCTAGTTGAATTCGCTGTCCCAACATTCAACTTATCTAAGGTGGGATTGTTAGTTTCAAGCTTGTAGGGATAATCCCATGATATGTCTTACAACTACCGATCCTCAAAAATCAAGAAAAATTTCTCACCTATGTTCCAGTAAAATTTGAATGAATCATTTCTAATTGCTTAAAAGTATACAGGTTTGATTTATGAATTTCAGTCTCCAATTGTATTAGATTCTCAAGATAAAATAACCATGAGGCAAAGCCGATAAGGTTTAAGTGACTCAATTAATAAAATGACTACTTAGCTCGGCAGGATATCATAGATATTGAGAAAGGTACGGTTTCTTCTTTCATACAAGATATAACTGATATAAACTCTTTTAGATGTAAGGTTAGGGAAGTTCTTTTACCACTTAAATAAAAGAACATTTAATGACAAAACCAGCGGCCAAAATTAGTGTGATAAGCTCGAAGTGATTATGACAGATTAGTTGTACTAGAAACGTCTGGCATTGGATAAAAAATTTCAATTGTATGTTCAGCAAACAAAACCCTCCATCTAAAACTTTAACACTTCTTGACTGTCGTCCTCAAATTTATCTTATAATTAACAGTATATACGAATACATGCAACTTTGGGTTCAGTGGTCTCAACTAATTGTACGGGAATTTAAGAGACATAATAACTCCATAATGAGCCATTTTCAGAGAAATTCAAAAAATAATTTCTGCTGTTGAAAAATGCTTTATAAACAAAAGTGAGACATGTTTTGAAACCAGACCTATCTCATGAATCCGAAACGAAAAAGAGTATTATTTTAGTAGAAACACGTTGAAAGTGAAACTATAGTAAAGCACTTGGTAGAATTTCTTCAACATGAGGCTGATTAATAGAACGTACGGTTAAAGCTAATAATGCAGCTTGATTCACAAATATCAGTGATTGGAAATGGTTGGCCATAATATTCTTCTTTTGTAGAGCACATTATTGATAACGGTAGCTTAGCTGATGTTGGAATATTCCTTAGAGTTCTGTAGGGACAGTGCTTTACAACACGTTTGAATTTTCTAAAGAACTAGCGCCAGGCAAATTGAGGGCCCCTTTGTGTTTTCCAAATCGTTTTGTCCATAAGCTAGGCGCATTCTGCCTTAGTAGTAGCAAATTTGATTGAGAAACTTATTGCTCTTCCTGATCAACCTTTTCTGTCCTTACACAAAATTTATTTCATTCAATCTTGTATTTCCAGTTTTCATTTAGAGTTTTGATGTTTAAATTTATGATCAAACTGCATCAAATGAATGTGGTAATTATATCCGATCCTACAGATAAAGCGAATCTCTTAATCACATTATACAAAGCCACACAAAAGAAGCTAACTGTTTCAGAACTAATCTGCATTTTGAACTAACAGTCTCCATTGAAACTATATCTCAATATTTAAAGCCACAGTACTGATAAGGTAGAAATATTTTCTCCCGTGAAACAAGAGTGAAATGCTGCTCCATTACGGGCAATCACTTTAGCTAGGCATACATTCCGGTTTAACTTACGTACCTAATACGCAGTCTGAGGAGCCGTTGTTGAGGTGCACTTTGAACATCCAATTTTCCTTCAATAACGAATTATCAAGACAAAAATATGGCATATCTATGGCTTCATCACTGGGGTGCTTACTTGAAGACTTCAAGTCAAAACTAGAGAATTTACACCTGATTGTCTTTATTAATATGAATAAACCAGAAGATATCCTGTCTCAATTTAACTACAGGCATCAGAGGAGCAAATTAGCTCTAAGGTATCCTTTTTAGATGTGCAGCTAAATAGACTAGACATAAAATAAGTCGAAAGGTCTATTCACGGAAAATCCACATCAAATGGACAACTTATGAATTTTCATATTTAGGTACCTCTATGCACGAAACGAAATCTAAATCGCCCTATATGCCATAGGATACACACTATCTGCAGTTGTGATACTTTGGAAGGTGAACTTAATTTTTTTAAAAGAGTTTTGATTAAATACTAGTATCCTAAACGTTCCAATGCTAAGATTATGAAACTGAAAGCATATGATCATTCTGTGGCACCTAAGTAACTTCTTTTCATGAGCTCACAGTTCAGCGCAGACACATCGGCAGATGTATATTGAGAAAACATCTGTCATGCTCACTGAGAAAGTCTTTCTATGATTGTCAAACTGAGATTAACTTTTTTCACCCACCCAGGGATTCAACTATGCTTAAAGTATAAGCTAGCTCCACTGACTACCTCGACGCTTGTTTATCAAGTCATCTACTCCTCCTGAGTAAGGTATATTGTCTGTACTCAGCGTTCAGTTTTCAATAGCATTTCAGAAGATGTATCAATCTGGTTTCACAAAAGAGAAGGGAGAACATTTAACAGTTCCATTTCAAAACATTTGGTCGATAATGGCCACCCTATAAATTCGGAAAAAAACCAGTCATTTATTGTGTTCGTGCAAGTCTTGTGAAAGGTGTACGCCCAAATCTTCTTCAAATTGTGGGTACCGTGACAGTTAATATTCTGAAGCCTGAACTCTGTGTTCAAAACAATTCGTTCATTCACTTGAACTACACTGGATATGCCCATAAGAAAGATTTTACCTTCAAAAATCTTTTCATTCATATCTTGCACATTACATTCCTCCGCCTCTGTAGTTCTGATTTTTCTTAATATCCACCATATTACAGCATTTAAATTAATAACTAAGTATTAGTTCCGTCTTGATAAGTCTTATTTACATCACTATTTCAAACAATACGTGATTCGTTTTCCGACCACTTGATTTTTAACCAATTCTGAAGTTCATCCAAAAAATTTTATGAAACATTCTTTTTCTGTAACTACGTGAACAGAGTATGTAGATGAGATTGTACAGCTTGCGACTGACATCGCTGAAAAGAATGACTGCTAATAACCTCGTGTTTGATGACTTAATGGCTGATCCAAAGATTACAGTTAAATGGACTATGAATAAAATCAGTTTGCTGTCATTTCGCTACTATAGTTTGTTGATCATATTCACATCAAGGTGATACAATTGTCAGTAATAAATTTAGCTTGAAATGATATCCAGGTAAGTAACACTAAATCACTGTGTGATATTTACACTACCAAAAAATACATTTGCTTTCGAAGTACTTATTAATATTTTGAGTTCAAACCTTGGAGGTCATGATGGCTTTGTTTCTTTCAGATTTTGATTGCGTATGCGCGAAGTTGGTCCGGAAGTCATTTTCGATGCTCTTCTATAAGACAAACAAGTTAAATAATTTTGGGCTACGAGACAAGACCTTTATTGATTGATATTATCATGTTGGGGGCTCTATGGCTAGGGATTTTAGTCAAGTTCACCTTTCATCACTAATTTTCTGGGAACGATGTAGGGCACCAAAAGTTTATCATCCGACTAGATAGTTGTTATCTGTATTGCTCCAGTTTAGTCAAAAAACTTGTAGTGAAGACAGATGTCAATTTGTAATTGTCTCCACTTATTCAGATTACATATATAAGTAGGTTTGAGGGATGAATCTGCAGCCTTTGAACTTAAATCCTCATTGAAGATGTTCAGGTCAGAAGCTTAAGACTGAAAAGTTTGATATGTGAAAAATTTCACTTTCTGATAACTTGTCATAAAATGAGTCTTTCGTGAAGTCTTCTATCAGCTATCAAGTATCTGTGCTATACTTATCATTGTATCGTGGATGTTAGATATGAAAATTAATTACGACTCTTATTAACACCAGACGACAGTGAAATAAAAAGCAATCTGAAATAATATCAATTGCCGTTTTGAATGTCTTGAATAGGTTTGGTTTGATAGAATTGTATCTATGCTGGATGATGACTGAAGATGAAATGAAAATTTGAACCAGTGAGGACCAGGTTTCCCGGCCAGTTTTTAGATCAGATGGTAGAGTGCGGCTACAGAAACTTGGTGCCCAGCTTGAACTTTAAGCTACCTTATTCTATCACGGAATATACTACATTAGATTTCTCTTTTTCACATTGTTTTAATCATTCAGTTGTGGTTTCCAATCGTACCGTATACTCTCATACAACGTAAAAATCGCTGCGACCTATCGTTATACAAGCACCATGGTGGATGGCGACGAATTCTCATGTGCATGATTGTTCCAGAAACTACAGAACCCCCTTATCAACTGTGCAAAATGAAATAATTTCTGACCTATAGTTTAACTAACGCTCTTAAATAT